AGCGGGGGCGCAGCCCCCCCACCTGCGATGCTCATGAAGCGGTGGGAGAAGATGGAGAGCTGGACGGCGTCAAGCTGGGGGCCGACGGGGCACGGGGGCCCCGAGCCGACGGCAATGCAGACGTCGCCGAAGCGGGGGAGGTTGGGGGGGGAGGCCGGGCCCACCCCGGAGGGGGCGGGGGGGGGCGGGGGGCGCGGCGGGGAAGGAGGCGGGGGGGGGGGTGGCGTCACGGGGGCGGTGGCGGCGGCACCGTCGAGATGCGGTGGCTCCGTGAAGATGGTGGCGGCACCAGGAAGAGGATGGTGCCACCACGGACGCGACGGCGGCCCCACGGATACAGTGGCGGCAACCGTGGAAACAAGGGTGGCAACCACAGAGATGATGGCGGCACCACGGAAACGATGGTGGCCGCGTGGAAATGATGGTGGCAACCACGAAGATGATGGCGGCAACCGTGGAGATGACGGTGGCAACTACGGAAATGACGGCGGCAACTACGGAAATGATGTGGGTGGCAACTATGAAGATGACAGTGGCAACTACAGAAATGATGGTGGCAACGATGAAGATGACGGTGGCAACTACGGAAATGATGGCGGCAACTACGGAAATGATGGTGGCAACCATGAAGATGACGGTGGCAACTACGGAAATGATGGGTGGCAACTATGAAGATGACAGTGGCAACTACAGAAATGATGGTGGCAACGATGAAGATGACGGTGGCAACTACGGAAATGATGCTGGCAACTACGGAAATGATGGGTGGCAACGATGAAGATGACGGTGGCAACTATAGAAATGACGGTGGCAACTATGGAAATGATGGCGGCAACCATGGAGATGACGGTGGCAACTACGGAAATGATGCTGGCAACTACGGAAATGATGGGTGGCAACGATGAAGATGACGGTGGCAACTACGGAAATGATGCTGGCAACTATGGAAATGATGGTGGCAACCACGGAAATGATGGTGGCAACTACAGAAATGATGGTGGCAACTATGGAAATGATAGTGACAACCATGAAGATGACGGTGGCAACTATGGAAATGATGCTGGCAACTACGGAAATGATGGTGGCAATCATGGAAACGATGGTGGCAACTACAGAAACGATGGTGGCAACTATGGAAATGATGGTGACAACCATGAAGATGATGGTGGCAACTACGGAAATGACGGTGGCAACTACGGAAATGATGGCGGCAACCACGAAGATGACGGTGGCAACCGTGAAGATGCTGGCGGCAACTACGGAAACGACGGTGGCAACTACGGAGATGACGGTGGCCCCGTAGAAATGCCGGCGGCCCCCCAAAAACGGCGGCTCCGTGAAAACAACCGCGGCGTTGGGGAAAGGCAGGCGACGGGGGCGGCGCCGCCACGGCGACGGGAGCCCCAAAAAAGCTCTGGTGGCATCGGGAAGAGGCCGGCGGCACGGGGGGAGGGGGGGGGGGGGGGACCGGGGG